TACTTAAAATACCTTGCTCTAGTTCCACATTGAAACTATTTCCATAAATGGAAACAGTTACCAATACATAAGGCTGTGGATATCACCACTGAACTCTGAGATACTGAAGTTTGTTTCTTTGGTCCCCACAATTTTTCCTTTGTTACCATTTGTGTTATACAGTGGTATGTGTATGCTTTGAGCTAAAGTTGAGTTATTCAAAATACATTGAAACCTAAAGGAATACATTTTAAATACAATTTGGAAAATACTTTTTTATATAGACTTGCACCATGGAATACTTAAAAGATGCGTAAAAGATGACTTTAAGCATCTCAGGAGGTCAGCATGAGGTGAATTAAGCAAAGACAGTAGTAGATTCTGGCCAGGGGCAGCATTCTTCTGAGTTTAAATGTACTTTTCATCTCTGATATATAGAAGCTTAGAAATTGAGTAACATGGGGTGCCTGGGTAGCTCAGTCAGTCAAGCATCCAACTTTGGTCAGGTCGTGATCTCACGCTTTGTGAGTTTGAGCCCCATATTGGGCTCTGTGTGACAGCTCAGAGCCTGGAGCCTGCTTGTCTGCTTCAGATTCTGTGTCTCCCTCTATCTCAGCCCCTCCCCCACTCAAGTTCTTTCTCTCTCTCTCCGTCTCTCTCTTAAGAATAAACATTAAAAATATTAAAAAAAAGAAATTGAGTAACACCTTAATCATAAGTATATGGAAGTAGAATTAAATAATTTTGTGTTTGCTTAGGAAACCGAATACAGGATAGACTTTTTGATCAATTTTAGCTGTTTTCTTAAAGGCAATTTTTATTTATTTTGATAAGTCCCTCTGTTTATGTTAGATATGGTTAAAGGCTTATAGATCTCTGAAAATGTGAGTAGTACTATTATTCCCAAATGGCTGATGCAAAATGGGGAAAGAAAAGCCTCTTGGGTGGATGAAAAACCTAATCCAGTTTTTCCTGTTCCTATTGAACTTGAAGCAAAATGAGAGGACCATGGCCAGTTTTTTTTCCCACGTACCTGGAGTTAATAATGTGAGGATGAATTGGAATTACTTTTTGTAACCAACTCATGATTACTACCAAGAGGAAACATGATCATTACTAAGCAAGATGAGATGATAGTCAGTGATTACTTCTGACCTCATCAACTTTTAAAGTCTTTGATTCAAGCATGGCTCTTTGAGAACTGGAATGAAAAATAAAGAGAGAGTGAAAGAAGGAAAGGTTACTGCCCTCAATTTCTTTCATTAATTTGCTTATCATACAAAGAAATAAGTGGAAATGACTGACACATGTTATCTGTGAATGCTTTAGATTTTGTACTTGTTGTGTTCTTTTGTTTTAGTTTGCCCCTTAATGTCATGGCTTTATGTGACTACCTGTTGAATATCTGGGCATTAAAAGCCTTGGCTGATAGACTCTTAATTAAGATTATTACTAAGGTAATCTCTTGCTTAGGATTTTATATTTGTTGAGGATTTAAAACAAAAACAAGAAATAAATACATTGCTCTGTTCATATCTGTCAAAAGTTAGACCAAAAATACTTATTTTGGTTTATTAGATATATTTAAATTATCTTATAAAAGTCCAGACTTATGGCATCCATTCATTGGACAGACAGATCAGTGAACAATAAATTACAAACTGTATATCATGATAGAAATCCACACATAGTGTCCAAATTTATTTGATAAACTTTAAAATATATGAAGTTGCTGTGATTATAGTAATGCATTTAAATGCTTATGAAGGAATAGTATTTTACGTCAGCAGCCATTTTTGTAGCACTAGCAATCATTTAACCCAACTAAAATATTAAGTCATGGTTAAAACTGAAAATAAGCTGGGACGCCTGGGTGGCTTAGTGGTTAAGCATCCGACTTTCGCTTAGGTCATGGTCTCGCGGTTCGTGGGTTCGAGCCCCGCGTCGGGCTCTGTGCTGACTGCCAGCTCAGAGCCTGGAGCCTGTTTCGGATTCTGTGTCTCCCTCTCTCTCTGACCCTCCCCTGCTCACGCTGTCTCTCTCTCTCTCCTAGAAATACATAAAAAACATTTAAAAAAAAACCAACAACCTGAAAATAAGCTGAATGACCTGTTGAATTACATTAAAACACAAGATGATAAGAATGATAGATATAATTTTTAAAACATTATTTATTTAATATCTACATTTTCCCCATGTTTTATCCGAGCCTCTCTTATTTCTGTCTGAAAAAGAGAATATCGCTGTTCTGCTATGTTCATTTATTGCCATTAGACACCCATTTGAAATTGTGAGATAAGTCAGCATAATTGAAGATAAATTTGGCTTTTCTTTTCTCATGCTTCATGGACCCCAAACTCTGTCCCATCATTGGCATTTCATTTCCTAGGCCTCAGATCCTGTTTTTAAGGAGATGAATGAAGTGTTACTTAGACAATTCCAACCCTTGAGTCACTTTATAAAATTAAATACTCTCTATTGCAAAAAGGACCTCCCTAGCATATGAAGATAATATGTTCGTTATTTGAAAAATAGCAACAATAAAGTAGAAAATGCCATTTTGCAGTGGTAATCATAGTCATATTGACTTTCATTTTTACTGATTATCAGGGAAATATTCTGTGTCAGATCCTTATATCCCAGGTCCTTACACAGGTTTCCTCCACTGTCTCAACATAGAGCCTTCCTATGAAAATTTTCATTAGCCAAATGCAGTTAAGTGCAGAAACAGTTGCCATTTATATGGAAAAATTTTTGAGCATTTCCAAACCCCCAAAATAACCTCTCTTAGGCTTTTCTGACACCTTAGGACACATCTTACTAAAGGATGGTCAAAATAAATGGGGATAAGAAAAAAAAAATAGATGCTCACAGACATAGTGCAAAGCTCTGGTGGCTTGATGCTAAGAAGCCAAGTATAGTTCCGGGGAAGGAGCTTGGCAGCGCCCCTCTCACTTAGGATGTGTGTTGTCTCTATAATGATTTGCTACAAAACAAACACTGAATCTTGTCTTTGCTTTTAGCCATTTTTTTGCAAAAACAAAATTCCTCTTTTGATTTCTTTTGGTTAGTGAAGCTAGGTATTCATGCAGGTCATTTCTATAGGTGAAGTGGACTAACATTAACTTTCCAAAAGCAAGGATACCTGTATCTTTAACTTTGCATCACACATTTTAGCATAATTGTTTTACACAGTTGGCAAGTGAAGCTTAAAAAAAGTCAAATAAGTAATATGTACTAGTTAAAGTTACAGACTCAGGGTTCAGAATTCAAACTCATATCCTTAGGTTTCTTTTTTTTTTTATTATATTTTTTAATGTTTTTTTTAATGTGTTTTATTTTTTTTATTTCTAAGAGAGAGAGAGGGAGAGACAACGCGAACAGGGGAGGGTCAGAGAGAGAGGGAGTCACAGACTGAAACAGGCTCCAGTCTCTGAGCTGGCAGTCAGCACAGAGCCCGATTTCTAAAAACTGCAGTTTCTGCTATTCTGACACCGAGATAACCTGGGCTTAAATTTCAGATTGCTGATGAGTAGGATGTGATACAGAGTAGAATATGTGCTACTTTTCAGTTTTCCTTGATAGATTCTTTGATATTATGATTTTTAGCATTGCAAAACACATTTAGGGGATAAATTCCATACCCTCCTGTATCCATCATTAGTCAAAAGTCAATATAGGTGGAAGACCAATGCTAAATAAGGCCTTTGTTAAACTTCACTAGGTCATCGTTGAAGTAGACAAAGAGAACACAATTTGGAATACTCACATTGGTAAATTTTGCTTTCTGACTTACCTGGGTTGTCCATTTGACTTTTCAGGCAAAATATGTTACCATATTTTTTTTTGAGGGGAGCGGACATTCCTTACCCTTTTTTTCCTATCTCCTTTTAGATTTTCCCATTTTCTTAGTTTTATTTTTTTCACAATTCTCCTAACGTAAGTAATTTTCTTTTAAATTATGGGGTTGAAAAATAGTCTGTGAAATGCAATACTTTATTGAAGTCTTCCGTATCTCACACAGAAGGGTTAAAACTGACAATTGGATAGGGGTACCTGGGAGACTCAGTGGGTTAAGCAACTGACTCTTGGTTTTGGCTCAGGTCATGATCTCACATTTGTGAGTTCAGGCTCCACATCAGACTCTGTGCTGACAGCATGGAGCCCACTTGGGATTCTCTGTATTCCTTTCTCCTTACCCCTTCTCTGCTTGTGTGCTGTCTCTCTCAAGATAAATAAACATTTTAAAGAATGAGGATGGGATAAGATATAAAAGCATATCATGAAGTGTTTTTTTTTTTTTTTTGGCACCCCTCAAAAACACACCCAGATACATATAAACATGTACATACAGATATATCCACATACAAGTAAATGTACAAACTGCCACTATGGGTATCAGTTTGTTCTATTAATAGCTCTGGGACCCTAGCAATTTTTGGACCTTGATTTCATGCTCCCTAAATAAGTTTTACTTCATTTATTAGTGCATCTTCATTGTTTTATAAGCATTTTGAATCTTAATAAATTATTATAAATATTTTAGAGTCTTACAGCATAAGAGATTTCTATGTTTTCCTAACAATAATAAGTTTACATTTTATTTTTGAAATGGTAACAGAGAAGACAGTTGCTAGGACATTAACTTTAGTGCACAAGATCAACATCCTAATGTTAGATACTCAGAAGTCTGGACAGAACCAGGGGTATGGCCTCTGTGAAACATACACTTACTGAATAATTCTTTGTGTTGCTAACTCCCCAAATATTTTAAGAGATTTTATGTGTGATAGGAACTTAATGTAAATATATTACTTTTTCTTCTGCATTTCCTACCTATATCTCTTCAAGGACACCAATAAACTTTTGATTAGTACCATGGGCATTTCTAACTTCCTATATTCAGGTTTCTTTTTCAGTGAATTCTGTCGTGAGCTGGACTATACAGTTTTTCCTTGCATTCTAACTATAATTCATTACACTCTTGTGATTTCTTTATAACACTTTTTCTTGATTTGCAGGAAACTCTTCAAAAGCAGGCCATCAATCACTGAACATGTGCATGAAGAAATGACCTTCGTGTCTATTTCTTGTTCTAAATAATTTTTCTTTCCTTGTACAAATTCTTCAAGGTAGTATAATTTTTTTCAGCTTCTTGTTCCATGTTTTTGCTGCGATATTGTAATTGAATATTAGAGGATAGTCTATGTGTGTGAGTGCATGATGAATCATGTATTTATTTATATTATATATATTATATGTATAATATATATATTATATGAATATATTATATGAATATTTATAGAAGACAGATCATTCATAGAAGACAGATCTGTTTACTCATTATTTTGCTTTTTGTTTTTAATATTTTTAGTTATTTTAGGCAAGAAGACAAGATCAGAAACACATCATGTGATAAGTTAAAAAATATTATTGTATTTATATAGTTCTCTTCTGAATATTTTAGATGTTTTGAACACCTAATGATATGATCCACCCAGTGACTTTTTAATCACTTTAAATAGTACTGTGTTTTACAATATTCTTACACAGGGTAAAAAGCATACCATCAAGTAGTGTTGGACCTTTTGATGATTATTTAAAAATTTTTTCAGTATGAGACGAATAAATGGCTGAGCATAGGCTTTACCTGTGGGTAGACTAGGCCCATCATAGTTTCCTAATATCTATTGATTAATCAGGTTAAGCTAGATTATATTACTGTGTAGTAAGCAATAATCTTAAATATTAGTGATTAAGTAATATAAAATTTTAGTACTTAATCAAACTATGAATATAGCATTATTTGATAGATAATTTGGTAGAGTCTACCCCACATAGACACTTTGAGATACCATCGGAGGGAGATTTATCATTGTGTAGCTGAAGCATCTGGAAGACCTGATCTTTTCATTTCCATAGATGGTGAGAAATGTGTTTGAGAGCCTTAAATTGCCAATTAACTACCTTGACACAGAAGATCATATCTACCATAACTACACTATAACCATAACTCTTACAGTCCATTGGCTAGAACTACATATACGGTCCTACCTAGTTGTAAAGAAGTAGAAACATTTTTTTGGCTATGTATCACCAAGGTAAGATGAAGTCCCACGGGAGTTCTTATTGAAATGTAAACTTATTCCATCATATTCATGCATTATTCTCAAGTTTAGGTAAAAATTCCAAATGTCTGACAGATTTATTAAACTATTTTAATTTTATTTTAACTTAATTTTACTACTTAAAAAATGTTTATTTTGAGAGAGAGAGAGTTAAAGTGAGCATGGGCATGCACATGAGTAGGGGAGGGGCAGAAAGGGAGAGGGAGAGAGAGAATTCTAAGTAGGCTCTGCACTGTTATCACAGAGCCCAATGGGAGGGGCTCAGTCTCATGAGCCATGAGATCGTGATCTGAGTCAAAATTAAGAGTCCAAAGCTTAATTGACCCATCTGGGCACCCTTATACTGTTTTAATTTTAAACATTGATGAGATTCACCAAAGTTTCTTAAATTAAAATTATTTAACTATGTGTATTCTCTTTATCTTTTATTGTTTGCCTATTTGTATTATTTTAATTGAGATTAGTAATTTTAATTTTAATAATTTTAATCCTTGTTTATGACATGCATGTCTTTCTAAAATAGTATTTCTGAATTATATAGTTTACTTTTTCTAGACATTTTAGTATGAGGAAATGACTAATTTCAAATCTCTTTTTTTTATTGAGAATAGTATTTGTAAATTACCAAAATTAAGAATCATCCATATATCTTGTCATTTACAAAATACATTTCCTAGAGTTTATATTTTTTTAAAAGAAACCATGTGTTTTATGTTATTTCTTTAGGTTAATAAAAAGGAGTCTGTAAATAATCCTTTGTTGTTTATATAGTTTTGTCTTATTATGTGCTATATCAACACTTCTGTACAACATAGCACAACCACATCACATTATGTTCATTTATATAAACTATCAACCATTTTCTTAATTTTATCTAAAACACCTCTGTGTGGTTAACTTAAATAGTTCAGCCAGTACTTTTTGAGTACCTATTATGTTCAAAGTACTGTGATACTGCTGCAAGTACTAGGCCAACTTGATGCATATAATATATTTGAAGAGATAAAGCATATACACATGCATTTGTTTTGGTGTTTTATAGCTCAGGAGAGTTCATTTCCAGAACTGTATAGTAAAAGAGAATTATGCTCACAGATACGGATAAATCTCTCTTATCTGTGCATTTATTTGGGGGTATGCATAATTCTAAAAACAAATTGTTTAAAACCATTTACATTTTGTTTTGGAATATTTAATACAATTTGAAGCAATGGAATAAATAATCATGTGATGTATGTTTTCTTGAATTAAAGCTGGAATTGTCAATGAAAACCTGTATTATGGATGAGGGCAAGAATGATCTTTGTGTTCTGGAAGCCGAGGACAGTTAGTTTAGGATTAAAAAGTTAACATAACGTATCCTCAAAGTGAAAAACCACACAAGAACAAGTAGGAATTTTCCTGCATTTATAGTTTAATTGAAGAAAATAGAAATACTTAACTTGTCTGACTTGGATGATCTAATAATAACCAATGTTGGAAGTACACTGGCTAAATGCCAATTCATAGATTATATCTCCAGATTTGCTCTTTGCTGTTACATGTGTGCTATTTATCAAAAGTCTTATTTTCAGTCACCAGGCTCTCATATATAAGAAAGAGCCTGTCCCATTTCTAAATCTAATCCTACAAAGTAATATACTTTCTAAAGACTTAACTGTTTTACATATTTATGAATTTCTCCACAGGCCCCCTAAAAGATTCATTTCTCAGTTGTGTCACAAGACATCACAGTATAATGCCTGGCTTATTTTCCCATCAAATATTGTTCTACAGCTGCATGGTGTTTCCTATTTGCCATTGTCTAGAACACACTGAAGATGTAGCATTGACCCAGGCTGCTCAATGTGCAGGACTCATGCCTGCAAGCACTGGGATTCTGTAAGACTTATCACTGTGTTTCTGTGTCATATCACAAGCTCATCTGCAGAAATATATACTGACTGAGTAACCCTGAGGTAGACAATGCTTAATTCTCCATTTCAGAATCTTCCAGGAATGGAAAAATGATTCAGCTGGAAGGCATCTGCCCCGTCAGCACCCTATTATCCTAACACTGTGTTTACTCTGTTATAGGTTTCAGTTATCCTTACACAGTTTGATCATCATTTTTGAAGCTGGCCTGGTATATAACTTAACACAAGTTCACAGTATGTTTATTATTGGTTTTAACATGATACCTGTGGATTTACATGCATCTGTTTTCCTAGTTTCTCTAGTCTATACTTTTGAGAAATATACTTAGAAAAGAAATAATTGGAGGATAAATTATTAAAAATTGATAAACCATTTGTTAAAAGAATCTGAAGTTATTTTAGTGGTTACTAATTACCAGAATATTGAAATAAATGCATGCACAGAAAAAAAGCAACATTTATATAGATGTTACACACACATGTACTTATATCACATCCACAAATACACACATATGTATGTATTTCCACACACACAGATGCTGTCATGGTGTGTGAGTGTGTTAATGTATGTCTGTAAGATACTACAGAATTACAGTAAGAAATTACATTAAGAAATTTAATATTGCTTACAAATAAAATAATCCTATTTACCAGTTATTTAGCATTCCATATTCCCACTTCTACTTATAAAATATTCTGTGCAAACAGAAAGTCATTAATTTCTAATGTAGTGGAAAACCCTGCAAATGTTTTGTTTTTCATGAGTTTGAAATGACAGGTAGTTTTTTAGAAAGTAAAAAAAAACATAGGTAAGGGTGTATAAAAGCAAAAAACAAATCTCATTTTCAGTAGTTTTAATAGTTGGCTTTAAAAATTATGTTTTTCTCTATAAATCTAGGTTATATGGTTTATATGAAATAATATTAGCAAGACTGTCAGCATTAAGTTAACATTTTTTGTGGCCATAATAAAAATTAATAATTTTAATACATTTGTATTTGAGTTGAATCATTGATTTATTTCATCATTTATTTAATAAATATTAGGTCTTTATATCAGAAACTTTCAATAATATGGTTTTTAATTTTAGATATATAACATCAAAATTGTAAATATGTTGATGTTAGTTTGCTCTTCTGTTTTTCCTTTTGTGGCTTCATCCTTTTTCAACACCTTTTAGAAGTAAAATGATGAAACTCTGTTATACATTGTGTTAAAATATTTTCAGAGTTCGGATATAATAATGAGCTTTCAAAGTCATTTTCTTGAAGCTTTATTTTTTTGTCTAGATTACATACATTCTATTTGATTAATTTAGGATATCTTGATAAAAGTATATTTAAAAGAAAATAATGTCAGCTGACTTCATGTTAGATTCAATATTAGGTCACTTTATTTATTTGAAGGATCATACCTTTGAATTGATAATATACATATGTTGCTATGAATGGATGAGTTTCCTTTAAAGCTTTATTTGCAACTCAAATGAACTACAGATTTTACGATCATATGTGTAGATATATTATTTTAATATCATTTATAATCATATACATGTATATGTATGCGTGTATGAATGCATGTATATATATATTTAAATTTCTCAAGAGTACTGCAACACAAACTTGATTCCTTAAAACAGTAGTTCTGGAGACTAAGAGTCTGAAATCAAGATGTTATGGAAGAGGGTTGCCAGGGAAGATGGTGGTGGTGTAGGAGGATCCTAAGCTCACCTCTCCCATGGATTCAACTAAAAAACGCATTAGTATAACTTGGAAAATGATTTGAAGACTGGCATAACAGACTCTCCAAAGCTAACTATAGAAAAGAGACCCCATTGAAGAGTGTAGAAAGAGCTGAAATATGATTGGGAGCTAAATAGACCCACACAACTGTCCCCAGGTGGGAGGGACACCATGGACATAGGTGAGAGGACCAGTCCCTCACACTAAGCACCCCAGGCATGAGGAACCCACACGAAAACCAGAGGAGCATAATTTTGTGAACTTTTATAATCAACAGGACTTAACACCTGGAACTTTAAAAATCAGTGAGCTCCGCTATAGGAGAGCCAGGCAGGTAATACAGAACTGAGTTCCTGCCTATAAAGAGCACAAAAAACAGTTCCATGGAGATACAGCATAGAAGCAA